TCATAAGCCTGTCATGGTCATGTGATTTTCTGCAATGCTTACTGACTGAGTTGCCAGCCCAATTGTCTACTAAGCAAGGACAACCTGTAAATTTTAGACAGCGGCTCTATTCATGTTCTTGCAATTCCAGAGCTTCTCTTCCAATATGGAAGTCAAAGCAGTGTATAGTTCTGGTGGGCAGGATTTGACATATTACAGTGTATTGCTGAGCTCAGCGCTGTTTTTCTCATTCTCATGAATGGCAGCTGTTCATTTCAAAGGCAGAAGGTCAGTGAGGTACAATCACCGGGGACTAAACTGATCCTGAAGATGCGTAGAACTGAGCCTACTCACTTTATTTCCTGATAGTTTAAAAAAAAACTTAACAAGGATTTTGATTGTGGATAACTGGATATGGGGTTGTTGGGTGGTTTTTTTTGTTTTTTATTTGTTTTGCAATCTGTGAGTTTTGCACTTTGCCTGAAAGCAGTGCATTATATTGTGTTTTTGTTTTATTTACATTTCTGTGGCTAAACTATATGGTATAGCATCAGCTCCCAACCTTTGGGGCACTAGGGACCAGATCCGTGGAGAAAGGTTTTTCTGTGGACCGGAGGGGGCATGGTTTTGCATGCTGCCTGCATCCCGCAGATGGGACTTTGCTTGTTTGCATGGACCGGTTGCTGGCATGCCACAAACCGGCACTGGTCCTCGGATCGGGGGTTGGGGACCTCTGTGGCATAGAATGGAATAACAGCAAGAGACCGATAAACTTTTCTTGCCATGTTGATCTCCAAAGCTCTCTGGGTGGTGGCAAAATCTGTAGGACCTACATTCATGTTAATTACATTTACAATATTGGCCTCAAGTTGGCAGAGCAGATGCAAAATTTCACTCTGCTTCCAATGAAGCCACCAGGCATTGCATCATATATGGCTGATGCACAAAATAGAATACTGTGATTTTTGTTCTCAGCAGCTCTTCTGGGCCCAAGAAATCTCAGCATCCATAATTCTTGTGGCAAGTTTAGAGATATAATAATAAATTTAAGAATTCATTCCTACAAAGAGATCACCTCTTGTCCTCTAATTTCTTTGTAGAAATCTAAGAAGTCACGGGTTGTCAGGGGTTACTCATAGATAAATGAAAAGCATTTTTTCCATGCTCAAAGACAAATTTATTACTTCATATATTTTACATATAAAGGTGAAGTTCTGCATAAGGGCTCCAAAGCTAACCCTGATGTGATGTACTTCACAGTGCATTATAGCCATAGAAAGGTAATATTAGAACATCATTTTCTCATGAAGATTTTTGAAAGTTCAGTCACTTCAGGACTGCTTTATAAAAAAATGAACAGTGTATTATATCTTTTGTTCTTTCGTCAATATATTCTGAAAGTTAAGAACAACTCTAAGGATGTATCCACATTGCAGCATTTCCAGTTGATCTATCAACTTCAATGACCAGTTGCCCATTGTGAACTGTTTGGAAGAAAATAATGCCACTTCTTAAGTCAATCAGTGTGTAGGATCACTTGATTCCAGGGGGCAGTATTAAAACTCGTCATTAGCACATTAGTATGCCATATGATTTGTTTCATTAAGTTTTTTTCATTCGCTCAGTCTTACTGCCAGGGTAAAAATGAAGTGACTCCATTTATTTCTCGTCTAGAGATTCCTACTTAGATAGACTCAAAAGCGGTGCTTAAAATCATATTATCTGAGCATTGCTGCATACGATACATCTGGCATGTGCAGAACTCACTGCACTGCTTCAAATCTACAAGGTTTGTGGTGAAGAGAAGATTGGATTGGGGCATGGTGAGCCTCTACTCTGCCAAGTATAGATAATTTGGGAAGCCCTGTTGTGTGCCATGGGTCATGCATTTGGGATACTTCATAAGATTTGAAGGAATATGAACATACAAAAATATTTGTAGGAACAACATGGTGGTGAAGTTGTTAAACAAGAACCAAAGAGATCCAGATTACTTTTAGCCATGGAAGATCACTGAATATCTTTTGGCCACTCAGTTTTTCTGCTCAGTCCGAATACCACACAGGATTATTTTTCTGCATCTTGGATTGGGGGGGGGGGAGGAAATCAGAAAAAGATTCCTACTCAGACTCCAGAAAACTGTTTTGTAGACCACATTGAATGAAATGGATTAAGTGACAGCTTCCAATATTTTTATATGCCATTCTCCTGTGGCTTGTAGGAACAACTGTTCTGCATCAGCAAGTAAAGGACTCATAGAAAGTGGGGAGCCAGCAGCACACTTTGTCCACAGGGGAGCTGCCCCATAGCTTCTAGAGATGAAATGCTAAGATGGAGACACTTAGCAGAACAACCTTGCTCAAAAGAGGCTTTTGAGTGCCATAACTTCTTCCTCGCCATAGGCCAGGCAATAAGGGCAGCCTGTGAAACCTAATTAAGTTGACTTCCTATTTCCGGCTCTAAATGAGCTGTACAATTGCAGAACTTTGTTCAAACCACCAGGAAAGGAACAAGCAGACTATATAGTCCCTTCTGTCAGACGTCATCTTGAAATATAAAGAAAATTAAGCTCAAATGCACTGCAGAAGTTGGGCTCAGGAACAATATTTGCTTTTATTCGCATTTATTAGATTTATATCCCGCCTTTTTTCTACAGGAGCTCAGGGCAATGTACATACTGCTTCCTCCACCTCTTTTTCCCCACAACAATCCTGTGTGGTAAGTTGGGCTAAGAGAGGGTGACAGCCTCCAAGTCACCCAGTGATCTTCTGTGAACTTGAACCTGGGTCTCCCAGCTCTTAGCCCTACACCTGAATCAGTACATATTGTGTTGGTTGTCTATATTACTT